CCATTTCTCCACTGTATGTGCATATGACAATAAAACCTTTGAATCATGAATCTTTGTTTATATACCTGGCTGCTAAATCTCAGAACTGTTACAGGATGTGTATTTTTTAAATTGTGTAATGTTTCTTTTTCAAATGTGGTATCTTTAATATTTTTTAATGCATGCTTTTAAGGTAATATTAAGCTGTCTTTTGCTGGAACAAATGCAAAAAGGTATTCTGATATTTGTGTGTGATAAATACAGTGTGTGTTGGATGTTTTGTGCCCTTTCTGTACATTAAAATCTTCAATCTGGATCCAAAAAAAGCCTTGAAATGACAACAAACCCAAAAGAAAAAAGGTGACTGCTAGGTCATTCACAAGATGTTAAAAACAAGAAGTGCACCGTTGGCTGAAGCAAATTTCCGTAGTGGCCAAACGGTGGTACTACAGCTGCCATGACGTCATTTTGGCCCAAAAAGACTTTCCCCATTGACTTATATTGGGAATAAAACGCCTGTAAATCCGCGGTTTTTTTATTTTGTAGCTAAACAAACTACCCAGCACGAACACTTGTATATCCTTTATTTTAATCATTAGGGTTTAAAAGTTGTGAAATGAAGCTAAAAAGCTGAATCTAGAGATATTTTCTCTCTCCATCTCTCCTCTTCATTTGACAGAGAGCGGGAGATTGGAGGCGGGACTTAAGGGAAAACTCTAGTGCGCATGCTCTGTAAGCAAAAGGACCCGGATGAGCAGAAATATAGGAATTTGCCTACATATACACAGTTAAAAAATATCAATTGTAAGAAACTACCAAAACAATAATGAAAAAATTATTATAAGATATTAAATATATTTCTATTTATTGTTTTGTTTATCTTCTAGTGCTCATATGTATATTTTAATAATCTTTATTTGTATTTAATTACTTCTCACTCATGTGCAATGCCTTATGCTATTATGCATGGGATGAATAAAGTATATCTTATCTTAAAACATTAAGATATAGAATATAACTTGCATGAAATATAGATATGCTAAAGAAAACGACCAACAGACAGTATACTATTACAAAAAAATGAAGAATATTTAAATATAATTATGTGCAGTATTGTTATGAAATAATGATCCGGGTACTATCTGAGTATACTCTCTCTATATATAGTAATACTAATATACTCTATTTTGGGCTTCATCCGCCACTGATTAACTCCCATAGGAATGAACGGTGTTTCTCTTCATACTTCAGTGGTTATTGAGAGTGTAATGTAAGCAATAAAAAGGAAATACATTTAAATAGTGCTAACAAATTAAAGCCGAATTACAGATACTTATAAAACACGTTTAAAAAAACCAAATTATTAAAGTGTTTCTTGTTTTTTTTTACACAAAATACAATAAAATGAAACTGGCCCATTTTTCAGTGGAGTTAGGTTAAAATCCTACGGCTATATCAACCAAAACACGTTAACAAATTACATGTCAATATGTCCTTACCTTCTAAAAGTCGCTGGATGATACTGTCGATGTTGAGTTTGTCCACATCAGCCATGGTAGATTTGATGTTAAAATAAACCTGTGAAATCTAGGTTAGCACGTTTTGATGGATGTTAGCCTAGCATTAGCTACCTAGCTTCTCCGACTAAAGGGTACAGATGCTCTTCAGTGACCCTGTTTTTAATTTAGCTGCTTAAAGATAATTCCCACAATCTAATAAACTACTTAAACACCGCGATGAATTACAAAATCTGCATCCAATGGAGGGTTTTGATAAGAAAACAGAGATAAAAAAAAAGAAGCCGCACTAGCTGTTAGCTAGCGATGGTGTCAGTGTTTTTCTCTGCCGCACCTCGCACTGCTCGCCAAGCCGCTTCAAGGAGGCTGAATGCGGGGAAACGAGACGCTGCTGCCCCCTGATGGACCGGTTGAGAAGGGGACTTTAACCTACTTAGATATAGGCCTAGGAGATTAAATAGCAAAACATCAAGTTGACAAAGAAAGGGAAGGATGCAGAAACTCCTGTATTTCAAATTGTGCGAGTTCATTTTAATATACAGAATAAAATCGTGTTTTACGTACTTTGAGATGATTGGATAAAGTGTCCAAAGCCAACAAATAGCAACACATCAAGCTGACAGAGAAAGAAACATAAAGCAGAATGTCCTGTATTAGAAATTGTGTTAGCTAATTTGAATAAAATAGTTGTTTAGGTACTTTAAACTAATTCGATAAATTGTCCAAAGCCAAAAAATAGTAACACATCAAGCTGACAGAGGAAAAACATTATGCATTTAACATACATTTTAAATACAGAATGAAATCGTGTTTTTCTTGAGAATTTAGATTGAGAAAGGTACATTAAACTTCTTAGATAATAAGTGTACAAAGCCGAAACATAGCAACACGTCAAGCTGACAGAGAAATACAAATAAAACAGACCTTCCTGTATTACAAATTATGTGAGTGAATTTGTCTAAAATCGTATTTTTATGAATAAAACAATGGACTGGATGGAGAACATGGCTTTAAGCTACTTAAATAAAGTGTGAAAATACAAGAAGAATAGCAACACTTCACGCTGACAGAGAAATAAGTTTAATTTGAGTATGTGTATATGTAAGTGCGTGTCCAGGTGTTTATGTATATGTGAACAAGTAACAATGTATTATTTTATATGTGTATTTTGTATTGTTTGGGAAGGAAACGACACTTTGACTTTGATTTATCTAGATAAAGTGTAAAAATACAAGAACAACAATAACACATCAAGATGACAGAGAAAGAAAATGATGCAGAAACACCTGTAATACAAGTTGTGTGAGCTCATTTTAAATATACAGAAAGAAAATCGTGTTTTTAGGTATCTTTAAATAATTGGATAAAGTGTCCAAAAGCAAAAGAATAGCACACATCAAGGTTGACAGAGAAATAAAAACAAAACAGAACTTCCTGTATTACAATATGTGAGTTCATTTGTCTAAAATCGTATTTTGATGACTAAAACAATGGACTGGATGGAGAAAATGGCTTTAAGCTACCTAAATAAAGTGTGAAAATAAAAGTAGAATAGCAACACTTCAAGCTGAGAAAGAAAGAAGTTGAATGTGAGTATGTGTGTGTTCAGGTGTGTATATGTATGTATAACAAGTAACAATGTAGTATATGTGTATGTTTGTATTATTTGGGACGGTGAGAAACGGTACTTTGACTTGTCTATAGATACACATCAAGTGGACAGAGGGTGAAAATTATACTTGTGCATTACCAATTGCGAGGCTTCATTTTTAAATACAGAATGAAATTGTGTCTTTTTTTGAGAATTAGGATTGAGAATGGGACTTCAAATGTCTAGGATAAAGTGTACGACCAGTTGTGGACAAAATATTAATATATTTAATTAACACACTTCCTTTCTTGGTGTCAAACTTTTAATTTCACAAAATACACATCAAGAGATTGCAGTATTTATAGACACATACACCGACTATTATGACTACATTAAAATGTGTTGATACCATAATACAAAATACAACGTGAGACATTTTATTTGTATTTCTGCTCATTTTCTGCACGTTTGTTTTTAAATCAGAGGATCATTTATTCCTGGTCTTTCTCCTCTCCGTGCGTGATGATGTGCACGAGGTTCTTGTAGTCCAGGTTTCCTGCCACATCTGGAGGGAACGCTGTGAACATCTCTCCCAGCTGGGGAAAAGGAGTTAACAAATATATGTCAATATTCAAAGAGAATAATGTCTTTAGTTAAAAGTAATAGTCTGAGGTGGAGCTCTGACCTCTTCAGGGGAGAATCTGTCCGCCTGTGTGGTCAACATCTGAGACACACTGTGAACACAAGCAGCAGCAGTGAGGGAAACATTTATTCTTATATTTAGTATGTATAACACTGCATTGACGTTACAAAAGTGTCTAATGTTTAAAGTATCCTATCTTTTAATTTTAGTTTAGTTTAAAGGGGTCCTATTCTCCTAATGTTCAGCTTAATATCAGTATGTAGTGTCTCTATTTTAAAGAGTCCTCTCCTGCTGATGTTCAGGTGTATATCAGTATGTAGTGTCTCTACTTTAAAGAGTCCTCTCCTGCTGATGTTCAGGTGTATATCAGTATGTAATGTCTCTACTTTAAAGAGTCCTTTCCTGCTGATGTTCAGGTATATATCAGTATGTAGTGTCTCTACTTTAAAGAGTCCTCTCCTGCTGATGTTCAGGTGTATATCAGTATGTAATGTCTCTACTTTAAAGAGTCCTCTCCTGCTGATGTTCAGGTGTATATCAGTATGTAGTGTCTCTACTTTAAAGAGTCCTCTCCTGCTGATGTTCAGGTGTATATCAGTATGTAGTGTCTCTACTTTAAAGAGTCCTCTCCTGCTGATGTTCAGGTGTATATCAGTATGTAATGTCTCTACTTTAAAGAGTCCTCTCCTGCTGATGTTCAGGTGTATATCAGTATGTAATGTCTCTACTTTAAAGAGTCCTCTCCTGCTGATGTTCAGGTGTATATCAGTATGTAGTGTCTCTACTTTAAAGAGTCCTCTCCTGCTGATGTTCAGGTGTATATCAGTATGTAGTGTCTCTACTTTAAAGAGTCCTCTCCTGCTGATGTTCAGGTGTATATCAGTATGTAGTGTCTCTACTTTAAAGAGTCCTCTCCTGCTGATGTTCAGGTGTATATCAGTATGTAGTGTCTCTACTTTAAAGAGTCCTCTCCTGCTGATGTTCAGGTGTATAT